AAGTCTCCTGCCTCCACCTCCCAAGTAGCTGGGACCACAGGCGCCCACCACAACGCCTGGTTATTTTTTGGTTGCAGCCGTCATTGTTGTTTGGCAGGTCTGGGCTGGATTCGAACCCACCACCTTAGGTGTATGTAGCTGGCACCTTAGCCACTTGAGCCACAGGTGATGGGCCATGTTTTTCTATTTTTAGTAGAGATGGGGGTCTCAGCTCTTGCCCAGGTTGGTCTTGAACTCTTGAGCCCCCTAGAGTGCTAGGATTATAGGAGTGAGCCACTGTTACTGGCCCTTTTTTTTTTTTTTTTTTTAATAACAAGACGGAGCCTTAACTCTTGTGTCCTGGGCTACAGTGCCATGGCCTCAGCTTGGCTCACAGCAACCCCAAACTCTTGGGCTCAAGCAATCCTCTTGCTTTATCCTCCTTTGTAGCTGGGACTACAGGTGCCCACTACCAGGCCTGGACAATTTTTTCTGTTTTTAGTAGAGATTGGGTCTTGCTTTGGTCAGGCTAGTCTCCTGAGCTCAAATGATCCTCCCACCTTGGCCTCTCAGCGTGCCAGGATTATAGCCACTGTGCCAAGCCTTTGACATGTTCTTAGTAAAGTTTTGACTTATACTTTGAAGTTTTCCAAAAGTATAATTTACATACTGTATGTATTTTTTTCTCAGACTATAGACTTTGAGATTTAGTTTTTAGTAATGTCTAGCATCCTAGGAAACACACATAACCCACAGGTGTCCAACCCATGTCCTGTGGGCCACATGCTAATGTTTTGACGACTTTTTTGGCCTGTGATAATGGATATCATGAAAAGTATGTATGATCTTATTTTTTTGCTAATCAGCTTTTGTTCTTGTTTATTTGTTTATTTTTGAGACAAAGTCTGACTCTGTTGCCCAGGCTGGAGTGTTAGGGCATTAGCCTAGCTCCTAGCAACCTCAAATTCCTGGGTCCAAGTGATCATTTAGCTTGAGCCTCTTGAGTAGCTTAGACTAGAGGTACGCACCAAACTCCCAACTAATTTTTCTATTTTTACTAGAGACAGGCTGGTCTTGAACTCTTGAGCTTAAAGGCATCTTCCTGCCTTAACTTCCCAGCGTTTGTTTACTTCATGTATGGCTCAAGATAACTCTTCTTCATTGTGTTCTTCAATGAGAGAAAAAGAAGAGTTGGACATACTTACGTAGATCATATACTTAGGTTTTCATTCAAATTTCAGGGTGCTTTATTTTTCCCCTTCAGTTTAATGTTAATAGCATTCAGAAGCACTTTGCTTGTGAATTATGGTAAATTATGATAATAGAAGATATCTCAAGTAAATTTTTTTCTTATTCTTTTACTGTAGCTAACTGCAATCACATCTACGATATCTTATTGCTTGGCATAACATAACTTTTATAATGATACCTTTACAACATACCTTTGTAATAATGTGTTTAACTGCATGATCCTTGTAGCCTATTCAATTGTATTTTAACTTGTTAGTTCATATATTAGACACATTTACTATGGCTTATAACATTTAAAGCATAGTTAAACCAGTTTAAAGTTTTTGGTATCCCAAATAGTTTGTTAGTTTGCTAAATACAGAGTGGGTTCTAAGTTTTCTTTTGGAATATATTGAAGTATCATCAAGATTACATTTATTAGCTTTCAATGATTAGAGGAGAAACAAACTTTGGAAGTTGTCTGTTGACTATTAAGTAATTTGTCTTACTCTCAGAGGTGGAATCATGGGCAGTGTTTCAGGGAGGGTAAGGCCTCTATCTAGGGTTGCTGTGATTTTTGTCTATGTAGATTGATCTTCAGTTCAGAATAGGTTATGAATGATAAGTAACTTTGTACGATAGAAATAGGAAAACGTTTTTCCTCTATGGAAAAATTTTAAATGTGGTTGCATTATCAGGTAGAACCAAATGTTCATTTTAAAATAAAATGAAACAAATGAGTAAGTTTTGTTTGATAGGTAGTATATACTTGAGGTTAATTATAATTTTGATAAGGATATGTAGAGTAATTTGTAAGGGTCTGAATTCTTTTAACCTTGAAAGTAATATTGCTGATTCTTAAATCTAATTTCATTTTATTTTCTTGATTTATGTGTCAGGAGCATTGAAGAGGGATAGTTTTTGTTGTTGTTGTTTTGAGACAGAGCCTCAAGCTGTTGCCCTGAGTAGAGTGCTGTGGCATCACAGCTCACAGTAACCTCCAACTCCTGGGCTCAAGTGATTCTCTTGCCTTTGCCTGCCAAGCAGCTGGGGCCACAGGCACCCGCCACAACGCCTGGCCATTTTTTGTTTGCAGCTGTCATTATTGTTTGGTGGGCCTGGGCTGGACTCAACCCTGTCAGCTCAGGTGTATATGGCTGGCTCCTTAGCCATTTGAGCCACAGGCTCCGAGTCTAAAGAGGGGTAGTTAATAAATGTTTTTATACGTAGGAGAATCTAGTAGTGTCTCTATCACAAAGTGTTTTTCTTTTTCTTTATTTTGAGCCTTTTACTCAAGGAAGCGATAGTTATTTGTTGGACACAGGTGACTCTTCTTAGACCCTTACAAAGGAAATCATTAACTCAGAGCACTCCAGATGATGGAATGTATAAATCAAATTTAGGTTTGGCAGGATTTCTGTTATTTAGGTAACTCCCTGAGAAGTAAAGAATAATTGCATTTAGTCTGTAGCCTTCCAACCATTCTTTTTTTAAATAGTCCAACAGTTTTTTATTCCTTTATAGCTATTATGTCATGAATTCACAGGGTATAAGTTCCAGCAACTCATGCTTCTTTCCAGTAGTTCTTGAAAAGTTTGATTCTCTGGGTGGAACAGTCTAGTGCCTTAAATGAACCTAGGTACTTATCTCTTTGGCTTCCTTCTATTTCTGATCATTTTCCTGAATGTGTTTTATTTCAGTAAGGTGTCTTCGTTTTTAGAGTGATTGATATGTACAGTGGGCACATTAATTTTTTTGATGTCAGTCTTGACCTTGTTTGTTTATAGCACTGACAACAGCATGCAGGGTAACATTGTAGTCTCTTCCAATTTTCCCTTGGTAACATTGGTGTGGCATTCCATTTTGAACAATACCCATTCCCTTGATGTCTACAGTATCACTTTCTTATAGATTTGCATGGCCTGGCCAAAGAAACAACTTCATATTTTCTAAAAAGG